TTCAGGGAAGGGGTGTGTGGGGGGTGGGGGAGAAGCTGTCCTTGCTGTGGCTTCCCCTTCCTTCCAAAAGGTGCTCCATGCAGGGAAGGGGCTCAGGGGCTTCCCTTCCCTCCCACTCTGGGAATGGATCCCCTCCCTCTCCTCTCCTCTCGTCCCCCACACCTGCTCATGGCAAAAGGAGTTTTGCTGGCAGCCTCTGCAGCTGTCTGAGGCTGGGAAGGAGCTACAGCCTCTTTCACTGCTGCCTCACTGAAATGCTGCAGGGCTCCAGCATGTGGAGCTTCTCCCTCCGGCCAGATCTCCCATCCGGGCCTCTCCCATATGCAAGAGAAGAACCAGAAGTATCTGGCCGTGCGGCAGAGGAGGCTGGGGGAAGTTTTTAAAGTGGCCCCAGGGACACCTCTCCTGACACACACTAAACGTGGAAGGGGAAAAATGTCCCTGCTGGCCTTCCGTCTGAGAACAACAGAAAATACCGGACATTTTGCGTGTCTGGTATTTTCTGTTTTTTTTTACCGGACAGAAGATGCAATTACCAGACTGTCAGGGTGAAACCCAGACACTTGGCTACCTTACTGGTGAAGGAGATGCGTAAATATTATCCCTCTTTTTAGAGGCTGAGAAAATTACCCAGAAAGGTGAAATGACTTAGCTTTAGTGTGTGATACTGGGTATGTCTACACTGCAGTGTTATTTCGAAATAACAGAGTGCATGTCTACACAGCAAACCGTTATTTCAAAATTACTCTGACTTCTGTAACCCTCATTTCATGAGAAGTAAGGGAAGTCAAAGGAAGCGTGTTCTTCCTTCGACTTCCTGTTCTGTAGACAGCACCAAAAGCCAAAATAAGCTATTTCAACTTCAGCTATGCAATTGATGTAGCTGAAGTTGCATATTTTAGCTTAACTTTTGCCCTGCAGTGTTGACATGCCCCAAGTGAATGAAACATCCAGGATTAGAACTCAGGGCTTCCTGATCTGCCAAGCCACTGGATCCAGCCTGCAGAAGCAGCAGGGAGCCCAGAAAGACTGCCCAGCTTGCCCTGCAGCCCCACATGCTGTGCAAAAATGCTACTAGCAGGGCTCTATTTCTGTTTTAAAACTGATGTGGAGTAGGGGGAGTTTTAGGAACCAGCCCACCCCCAGCACATTCCCATTGGCCAGTTTCTGGCAGAAATTGGCCAATGGGAGCTGTTTGTTGAACTAACAGGCAGCTAAGAAGAAATCACCAATTCCCATTGGCCAGTTTCTGGCAGAAATTGGCCAATGGGAGCTGTTTGTTGAACTAACAGGCAGCTAAGAAGAAATCACCACCCCTCTCCTGGGCTTAGTTATTCCTGATGCACATGGCCTGGCAAGCAGGCAGGCTGGGTACATTTTAACCTCTGCAAGCAGGCAGTCTAATTTGGCATCTGGCAAGTAAGTCTCTTGGCCACAGCCTGCTTCCGGCACCCCAACCCTTTCCTGCCCCAACTCTCTGCCCCCTCCCCCCTGTCAAGTATGGGTTCTCTTGGCCAGGCCTCGGGAGTATAGCTGTGATCTACCTCAGCAACCTCACCAGGTCACATGGATAGCAACAAGGCTTATCTACCAATAAAATGGAGCTTGTCCGAGTCCAGCACTCAACACCATATATGGGCATCACGCCACACCCAGACCACTCCCATGCCACTCCCAGAGCTCAAACAACACCAAATATGGTAATAGGCAAGAACATAAAAACCTCTCTGCCCTTAGCTCTGGGAGGACTCCCGAATATTGGAAGACAGAATCTGAGTCTGGCTTAGGACTGATCACCCAAAGGTTGCCTCCCACCCACCGAATCTAAAAAAGGGTGCACGAATCTCGAGCATGCTCCGTTTCCTTGTGTGTCTTTGTGTTGTTGTTGCTGAGTTTGTAAGTATTTAATTTACCCCCATTGTTGTTAAGTTGTTTAAAAGAGGTTAGAAAATATATTGCTCTGTGGTAACTTTTACCCTTGCTATTGTCAGTGTTAAAGAAACAGGTTTTTTTAATGAGTATATATTTGACTTAGCTGTAACTTAGGTAGGGTTTAAAAGTTGTTGTATGGTAAATATTAGGTAGTTGTTCATTATATTAGGTAAATGTTAGGTAAATATTAGGAAGTTGTTCAGCTTAATAAATCACTCCTTCTTTAGCAAAACTTGTTGTCTTGCCATCATTCTGTATTTTCACTGGGTGTTTGGCCTTAAGCCTCTGGGACTCCTGCCATTTTACCGAACCAAGCACCAACACCCCCATTCAACATACCCAAACCCTCTGTCCCCACTTACACCAATATCCCCTCCCAGATCTGGCAATCTCCTGCCGCAGGTCACAATCCCCTCTTACCCTAGGTCATATCCCAAACCCCTGCACTGCAGTCTCCTGCCCTAGGTCACAACCACCTGCTTCATCCCAACTCACTCCCAGACTCTGCACCCCAGTCCCTTACCCCAAGCTCCCTTCTGCACTGAACCTCCATTCCAGACCCCACATCCCCATTAATATCACAGAAGAGTGAAGTCCTCGACGACTTTCCAAAATCTTGGTGTGCCCCCCCCATCAAAAATTATTGCCCATCCCTGTCCTAGTTGAAACTTCCAAGGCCTGATTCTGAAGTCCTGAATGAGCCACTGAAATCAGGGCCTTTATCTGGACTTCTGGTAAAGTAATAACTGCACAATGGAGAACTTCAGCACTAAACTCAAATGATTCAGTAGAGGTGACTTTAATAAAAAAAAACTTAAAAAAAATGACAGCCACTGTGTAATATGGAGACCAAAGGTCCTGTGCATCACATCTGGGTTACTTTTTGTAAATGTCTGTCTGCTAGCATAATTAACTAGCTAGTTCTAAAATGCAATTTATATCACTCAAACGGGTCAGAATTACATCGTGCTTTAGAAAAGTACAGTGAAATGGGAAATGCAAATTTGAACTCATGTTAGTTTTTTTTAAAGTGAACAATAAATCCTACCGGGACTCTGAGTATGACAGAAATATTATAGGAGTGATTCATGCTCAGAAAAAGAAATGAAGATAACAGGACTGCTCCTCAGAAGTCCTGAACATATGAACACAATGGGTCTGATTCCTAGTTAGTCTGTCCTGCACAGATGGGGATGAAGGAGAGATTGGACAGGGTGAATTTAAACTACCTTTGTGCTCCCTGTGTTGCAGGGTCCTGGCTGACTTCCCATGAAAACTAGAACAGCCACTTGGGTGCTGTAATTTATGCTGTGTCCAATGGCTTCTTATCGGCACTGGAGGCAGAGGATAGTCATAGTGCAATGCTCTTGAGCCACTTCCTCAGCCTGCCCCCTACACTAGAGGCTGGGAGACTTTACACTATCTGTACACTGATTGGGGAGGCCTTATTCACAGAGGATATTGCATGTAGTGTCCACCACCCATCGGCAGACCTCTTTGTGCTGCTCAAATGTCTTGAGCATACCTGAGGCTTAGGCCCCATGGATGAAATTCAGAGAGCCAGCACTAGGAGGGCATGTCAGTGCGACTCAGCTGTCACATAGCTCACAAGTGGGCCCTTTACCGAGGGGGAAATTCACCCACAGTGAACTGGGACTGCTCAGCACTTCTCTGAATTCAGTGCAAAGTTCGCAACAAACCAACAGAAAAAAGAATAATTCAGCCTGGCCTTTGACTAACAGGATGGGGAGGGGACTAGGCAGCTGCCCTGGTTTTATTTTGGCTGAAGTACTTCACCTTAGTATAGAAATTTGAAGAGCTATTATATTACAAGTATCTGTTTGGATTGTTTCCCTGCTGCCTTGCCAGGTATGCTTTATTTCCCCTGACATGGCTTCTCACCACCTGTTTCCACTGGGATTTGAATACCACATTACCATACCACCTAATTATTTCTGGTGTTATCTGTATACAGAGAAAAGGAACAGTTTCCCCGCCATGAGAACAAACAATAAACCATGTCTGTCACTCCTCTACCCAGAGGCAGCTTGGATTGTTTAGCCAGAAAGCCCACAGAGGTGGGACAAGAGGCAACCTCAGAAACAGCTGAGTAAAAAAGGGCATTGAAAAATCTTCATGAATAGAATATGGTCCTGATTCCCTGCTTGGATACCCAGGTTTTTACCTGGCATAACTCCACTGATATCAATGTAGTTATTCCTGGCTTACACCTTTGTGAGTGAGAAAATGTACAAGTCCCTACATATTTGCTGAAGAAAATGTCACTGGCTTCGGCATCACTGTTAATGAGGCATGTCCGTTTTAGCACAAAAGGTCTTGAAGATTTGTACATAGTAATGGATCATTATTCTAGCCTCACATAATGCGAGGAGGGAACCTGTTATTGATTCTATCATTGTTCTGTTCATAGGCTGTCAACCAAAACACCATTCACATTGACAGCGGTTGAAGAAAGAAAATCCATAGTATGATATTTGGTCAAAGTGAGATACAAATAAGAGTGGAAATGTAAATACTCTACAGTCTTACTTCAGCTGGATTTTTTTGTACGGTTCCCTAGATAGCAAGGAAGGATGATCCAGTTGTGCTTTGCGTACTGGATTGATATTCAGAAGACATGGGTGAAACTCCCACCTTGGGCATCAATTTGCTAGGAGGCCTGGAGCAGATTGTGAGGGCTTGTCCACACTTAAAATGTTGCAGCAGTATCTCCAGAGTGCTTCAGTGAGGACACTACCAATGCCGACGGGAGGGCTTATTCCTTTGGCACCATTCCTCCACCACTCCAAGAGGCAGTAGCCAAGTCAATGGGAGAATTCTCATGCTCATTACACCAGGGTTTAAGCTACATTAACTAAGTCACTCAGGAGTGTGAGTTTTTCACATACCTGAGCGACGTAGATATAACAAACTCATTACCTAGTGTAGACCAGATATAAAATGGTGATTGCTCTCCCTCACCTTGCCAGATGGTTGTGAAGGTAAAATCCATCAGTGTTCATGAGGTACTGATTCAGTGATGATGGCCATGTAACTACCAAGTGAAGCCGCATGGTCACATGCTGTTAGAACCTGCACAAGCTTTAATAGCTACATGTAGCAGAAACATTGGAACATGAAATATAATTCAGCTACACAGCAAAAGGAGTCAGAGAAAACCTTGGATGGCAGGTTAGGGCATTGCTAAGAAATAACGCTGGATAATTGCAGCAGGACAGTTTCTGTGTAACAGAATAAGGCTATTGGACATTTAATTGACATCATTTTACAGCATGAATTTTGCTGCAGCAGAAGTGCACACCCAGAAGTTGTTATGGTTTTATGTCTCTATGCCATGCACAGATTGTTTTTCTTCCAGCCATAAAGTGTATCTCATCATTAACCTTGCCTCCCCACCCCCAACATCCCTACTTCTTTCTTCCTTTCTTTCTGAACAGAGCCTGTTTTCTGCTGACTATGGATTGAGTGTAGATTATACCGATATTTACAGTTTCCACAATGCAATTTTCTCTTGTTTTTCTCTTTCTATAAAGGTGTCTGACTTAAGAACTCTTAAGTCCTGGATTAGCAAACTCCAGCTAATGATCTCTGCAGAAGAGTTCACCTATGGTTACACTGCAGCTTAAGTCGATGTAAGTTATGTTACTTAGGGCTGTGAATTAACAAGCAAAACAACTTAAGCAGAAAACTCTCCTGTTGACATAGCTACTGCCATTCACTGGAAATAAACTAATTAAAGTAGTTTACAGTGGTGCAGCTCCAGGCCTGGCCAAAGGGTTTATGCTCCAAGCCTGGCCAAGGCAGGATGCTGGGAGCGGGGCCCCGGGCCCAGCTGGTGGATGGTGACTACGCAGCAGCATGGGGCCCCGAAAGTGCAGGTCCCAAGGCATTTGTCTTGTTCACCTTGCCCTAGGGCCAAGCCTGTGCAGCTTTCTAGTGTAGCCATAGCCTTAGGAATACCTTATTCTCAGGGGTCACCAAAAAACAGCCCCACTAAGGTCACACTGAGGAAGGACATGCTATTTGTTCAGCTCTGGATTTAGAGGGCTGTGATGGGGTGTACTCTCCCTGCACTGAACAGGAGGGGGTTAATGCCATCTTGAGAGTGGAGGAGGCCACACCCCCTTTACCCTACTGGGCATGCTTGGGCTGCACTGCTATAAAAGAGAGCAGCTCTGTTCAGTTGGGGCTGGCAGCTGAAGGGAGAGACATGCCTCGTCAGCTCCCTGCAAGCCCTAATAATGACCCAAATGCCGAGATGCTACCACGCAGGTCGGAGACCCAGTGCATCCAGAGACCATGCAGGATACAAAAGCAGGTGGGACTAGCCAGATCCCAGAGGAAGGAGGGGAGACAGAGATCTGCAGTGCACCAAGACATTGGAAGCAGGAAGCAGCCCAGGGATGGCGATGGCCACAGGGTGAGTAAGCCGATGCTGGAGAGTCAGCAGATTGCAGTAGGAATTTCCCTGCTGACTCAGTTGCTACAGCAAGCCACTAACAGGCCCCTCGGCTGGCATTCAGTGGAGTGGGAGGGCCTGGACCCTGCCGCCACAGAATGTAAAACTTTCCCCTATTTATTTCCCCTTAAAACAGACAGACCATTGGATTGCATTAGGACTATGGACTTGTGCTGCCCTGCTAATAAGGGCAAATTATATACTTTGGCCATTGGGTCATATTGAGACTATTGAATTGTGCTGCCCTGATGATTGGGGCAATTTACAGATTTTGACCATTGGGTTGTGTTAGGATTATGGACTTGTGTTGCCCCACTAATAAGGGCAAGATATAGGTTGGGACCCAAGGGCAGGAGTAATCTGACGTGGGCATGCAAGGTTGAAGGCACTGGCTGGGGGAGAAAAGGGGTGAATGCTGGCATGACAGGGGTGAGTCAGACACCTCCATCCCGCCTTGGAGGAGGTCCTCACTTCTGCCATGTGACAGAGGCCTTGCATCTCTGTCCTTGTATGGCAGTCATATGTTTATCTTGGTATCTTCAACTTGGTATCTTCAATGCTCCCTTCAACTTAGAACCTAAGAACTGAAGAAACTTATTACTCTCTCTCTATTTGTGTTATAGTAGTTCCTAGACCCAGGGAGGTGCTGTACAACACAAAACAAAAAAGGCGGGCTATGCCCTAAAAAGGTAATTGTAAGACCAGAGACAAGAGGTGGCTACAGTAAATGGACAGAAACAAGGACAAAGTATATATCCACCAGGCAGGCTGTGCTCTCAGCACAGCAGCTGTCTAACCACTGGCAGGCATTTTGTAGCAATCATGGGAAAGGAGAGATTTGAAAGAGGACAATGTGATGGCTTTATGGAAGTGTACAGGGAAGTGAAGATCAACATGGGACAAAGCACAAAGGTGTTTTCTCATGTGAAATTGTAGCAAGTAGGTGTTGAATGTTGGCACCATTAGCAGGGCATGGGTGGGAATCAACATCTTAAAGTATATGAGAGTTACTTAGCAGGGTGGGGGCTGAGCCAGGAAGGGCCTTGAAAGTGAAGTCAAAACTATATCACAGAAAATAAGTCCTGAATAAATATGGGTTTTTTCTACCCACATTGCAGGGATGTGTTAATTTACAAATTCAAGGACCAATATGTAGGCATCTTTCTTGAGCAAAAATATGCATCTCAATCAACTGAACACATGGCTTAAATAGCCACAGAAACAGATTACCCTCTTGCCCTTAGAAATTGTCTGGAATAAGACATATTTTGGGGACCATGTACCCAATCTTTGACTTAAGTGCTATCAATCAGGTACCTTGTGTGAGCACTAGATTATTTCAGAATTGTCTCCAATATGAATGTCAGAAGATTAAAAGGTTAATTAAACTATCTAAGTAAAGAGGAGAATGAATAGAAAAAACACAAGAAAGAGGGAGTTATATACCAGTATTCATCCATGGGTATAGCTCCAACTGCAGCCAAAGGGGCTCTGGCCCTTGAAATCCAAAGCTATGATGCTGAAATTGTACAATTCTCTGCATTAGGAAAACCCAAAGAAGTTCCATGAAATTTCTATTTTATGCACTACAGAGAAAGATATGGCTAAGAGAAGATCTATTTTAAGTGTCTGGCTGCAGTCATACCACTTTAGATTGTGATCTCATTAGACCTAGCTAAGCAGAGGAGAGATGGGAGAAAGGGCATGCTGAAGAAGATGGGCACAAAGAGAAAGAGCACATATGATAGCAAAATAAATACTATGTCAAAAGTGTATGCGCGTGTGTTGGGGGGGGAGAATAGAGCAGGAAAATTGATTAAGGTGGTTTAAAAAAGAGTGGTGGGAGCCACAGAAATCATGCAACCAATTAAAAATAATTAGATTCTCAATGTGGTTTTCCATAGATGACTGTTGCTATGTAAGTACAAAGTCTGCTGATTAGTAATAGTACATAAGTATGCTTTTTGTTGAAGATTATCATATTTATACAGGCAAAAGTGAAAAACCAAGGGGTAAAAATGATGATAAAACAGTGAATCAACAGAAAATATTGTGAATGAAAAGCAAAAAGATCAACAGAGTTTTCCATTTCTCCACTATTTCTTAAATCCATTATCTATTTGTGTTTAATACAATTGAATACCATTTTATTGATCTACAGATTTATAGGCAAACCGGTGTTTACTGGTAAAATGTTTCAGGGAGGATCCTTTGAGATAACACTAATTGCTTTTGACCTTTAAGGGCTGAAGTATTTCTACCATCATCAAATCTATTTTCTTGAAGCTTCCTTATTCAATATACAAATAAATACGTTACATATATATGGTGATAGTGAGTGCTAGGAGCCTGATGAGAAATAGAATGGATGATATAAGACACAGGTAAGGATATAGAAGATAAAAGAGGAAAAGGATGCTCTTATGACACTGAGCCTTTGATCAAAGAGGATCAGTGTTAAATAGCACAGTTTCTAGTGGCGTTCTGGTATTATGCTGATCCATTTCCTAAGCAATAATTTATGGATTTGATGCATCTTTGCAAATCAGACTTTTACATCACAAATATGGACTTATAAGTGTTTGAGCCTAATTCCTACCACCACCAGCAGTTAAATGTTACCCCTATCTAACTTTCAGTTCTACAGTATATAAGTGTAATTATATTTCTGCTATTCATTCTGTCCTGTTACCAGTTAATAAAGACATTACTGAGCTGATGAGTAGGAGCACGTCCCTGGCAAGTCTTTTCCCTGTATTCTTGAGTAATGGAAAGTAAATGCTGTTCTCATCGACTCAAGGATTTTCTATTACATGTCTTACACTGAGTCTGTTGTGCTGTGTAGACATAGAGATAAAATGTGGTCTTGTAGAGTGATTGATTTATTGCCCATTTGTTCTCAAGTCAAAGTTCAAGGGTAACCCCTTTCCGCTGCTGTTGTCAGTGAAACACCAGCAACCTTCTCTGCCCTTTTTAGCCCGTAAATCCAAAAGTTAATGCTGATAATATCATGCCTTTCTCTAGTGCCTTTTGTTCAATAATTTCAAAGTATTATCTGCATCTTACTATATCTGTGAGGTCAATAAGGGATTTAATTCAGAGCACTTCAAAACTCACTGACATATACCTTCATCTCTGGTGTGGAACATGCAGCATGTGTAACAGTACAATTCAACAGTTTTTAAGACAAAAATGAAGTGGAATAATGGATTTAATTTAATCTTCTGCCATTCTGCTTGATATAGCTCAGCATTTAGTGCACTCATTGGCTACGTCTACACTGGCATGATTTTCCGGAAATGCTTTTAACGGAAACGTTTTCCGTTAAAAGCATTTTCGGAAAAGCATGTCTAGATTGGCAGGATGCTTTTCCGCAAAAGCACTTTTTGCGGAAAAGCGTCTGTAGCCAATCTAGACGCACTTTTCCACAAAAAAGCCCTGACTGCCATTTTCGCGATCGGTGCTTTTTTGCAGAAAATAAATCTCTGCTGTCTACACTGGCCCTTTTGCGCAAAAGTTTTTTGGAAAAAGACTTTTGCCCGAACAGGAGCAGCACGGTATTTCCGCAAAAGCACTGACAATCTTACATGAGATCGTCAGTGCTTTTGCGGAAATTCAAGCGGCCAGTGTAGACAGCGGCTGCTTTTCCGGAAAAAGTGACCAGTCTAGACACAGCCATTCACACCTCTGAAACCCCACTGATGACAATAAGCTGTATTCTGTAGGGGAAATCAGCAGAAGCTTCTAGTTACCCCAGATTTGTGATGGTGTGCATGAGATCAAAATCTAGCTAGGTGGTACGGCACAGATGGAACTGGAGGCAGAATGTGACTTGCAAAAGCTTTAGTACTCCAATTGATCCATGAGCCAGAACAATCACAGCTTGACTTTTAGATTCCAAAGTGAATTTACAGGGGCAACAATCAGAAAAAAATCTCATTTTACTTGTGAACTGACCAGATGTGAGATGAAGTCAGAGAGACCCCCAAAACATGGAACCCCCTCAGTGCTGGTCTTTACACAGTGATTTTATAGTGTAGACTTACACTTCAGGGTGAGCCTTTAAAATGCTCTGTACAGCTTCCGTCTTTTGTCTCCTGTTGACTTCAGTGAGAAATGGAGGCAGATAAAAGTACATGCAGTGCTTTGAAAATACATCCCCAGTGTGATTTAGCCTTTGCACCAGTTTATAGTCATGGGATTTAGTAGTGACCCTGATCTGTAACTCCACATACTCTGCTCACCATCACTATTCAGAATGAGAGGCACATTCCCTATTAACTAAAATGGGTGTGCTACTTCTGTAAGTACCACTTCAAAGCAGAGAGGTTCGGCATTTGACCTGAACAGAGGAAGTACAGAAATGCCAAGAGAGAGCAGGATTTCATATGTACTCATCGGATTTCTTAAGGAAAATATGTAAGGGTATGTCTACACTAGCCCCCTAGTTTGAACTAGGGGGGCTAATGTAGGTATTCGAAGTTGCAAATAAAGCCCGGGATATTTAAATCCCAGGCTTCATTTGCAACTTTGAATGCCTACATTAGCCCCCCTTGTTCGAACTAAGGGGCTAGTGTAGACGTACCCTAAGAGGCCAATGTGGAGCATAGCTTGGAACTCACTGGGCAGCTTCTCAATGCATGTAAATTGTCATCAGTGGATTAGTGTCAAACTGCACACACCTACAGTTCATTTTCTGGTAGGCCTTGATCTGTAAATACTAGTGGCAAAATATATTCTATTGCCAGTTTTCCACAATCTCCAAATCTCAGGGTGGATGCCCTGAAGTACATCCCCATCCAGTGCAAATTGGCTTAGGCTCTGGTCTGCAGTTTCTTACTGATTCACATAAGGAATGGATACGTAGTAAGGATGCTTCCAAATTCATTTTACCAAGTGACAGATGGCTGATCTCCTCTTCCTCCTCTGTTGATAAAGAGAAGTTTTTG